AGAGAGACAGAGAGATAGAAGAGGGCAAGAAGAGAAGGGATCACAGAACCAGAGCTAGAAGGGACCTGAAAGGTCATGTAGTACTATAGGAAGAATACTGAATAGGGAGCTCTGTCATTTATGTGATGTTAAGCAAGTTTCCTTCTCTTAACTTCAGTTCTCATCTGCAAAATGAAGAAGTTGGGTGAGATGGCCTCTCACATCCATTCCAGCTCAGAATGTGGAATCATAGTCTTCCTCTCTCCTTCCATGGTTCAGGAAACTAGGGTCCAGGCAGGAGACATGAATTCTATAGGTATTAAATGACCAAGCCAGCATTCAAGAAGAAGAAGAAAAGAGAAACCTTCAAGTCAGCAATTACTCACCATAATGCATATAACAGTTGCCTCTGGTGGGATCCAGCTGAATCGCCTTCAAGAAGAATTTTTCAGCTTCATTCTTACGGCCCTTTAAAAAAGGAGAACAGGAGAAAGAGATGATTAAATAATCACTAGCCCTGTATGGTTCCTAAGCGATCACCTACTTCCTGCCTAAAAATGAATTATTCTACCTTTAATTTCTAATAACTAGATGAAATATTTAATGGTCTAGTTACTAATTTCCAACCTTCATGTGGATGTTGTAAAGTTTCGACTATTTTTGCTGATATTTCCTATAGTGAAAAGTCTACTCAATCTCATGGTATGCAGATCAAAATGATGCTTCTAGAGACTTGGGTTGTGTTCTTAACTCCTTACATTTTAATCTTTAAGTGATTCATATTTTGTTACTTTATATTTTAATTATTAACTGATTAGCAATTTGTTGCTTTATTTCTGTAACTTGAAAAATAAAATGAAAAATATTGATGCTAGTTTTGAGTAAATGACTAACCATATAAATCACAAAAATCACAGAAACTGAGAGTTGGGAGAGTTTCTTTCTCTGACCCTTCCAGCTCTAATTCTGTGATCCCCTCTCTTCTTGCCCTCTTCTATCCTCTCTGACTCTATCTCTGACCTCAGAGGTCTTCTAGTCAAAGCAAAAATCTATTCGAGAACATCTGTAATAAGTACTCATTAATGAGGCAAAGACCTCCAGTGATGTGGGACCTCCTACCTCCCAAGGAAGCTCAATCTAATTTGAGAAAATTTTAATTATTAAGAAGGTTATTTTCCCTTTATATAACAACAAGATCTCTCTCTCTGTAACTTCCTTATTGCTCCCATGTTTTCCCTCTGGAATAAAATAGATAAAAACTAATCTCTCATCCAAAGAGAGCCTTCAAATAGTCAATGGCGGCTAGTAATACCAACCTCCTCCAAAAAAAAAAAAGCAACAACCAGAAGTGAGGACAAGGTAACAGATGTATAGCAGGACTATGATTTCTGTCATTTTGGATATCATGCCTCTCTGGATGCAGTCTAATATGTAATTAGCCTGGTTCCTATATTATTCTGCTGATTCATACTGAACCTGTAGTCAGCTAAAATCCTCAGATCTCTAGTCATCTTTTTCCCATCCTGTACTTGTCAAGTTCATTTCTTGAGCCCATGTATGTGCCTTTATATTTGCCCCTATTAAATTTCTTCATGTTAGCTTCTGCTCAACAGCTTTGACTTTCAAGATCTTTTTTTTATTCTGACTTTCATTAATATATTAGCAATTGGCCTCAGTTTCCTCAACTATGAAATAAGAAGCCTGGACTTCAAGGTACCTTCTAGCTCTAAATATGGGATCTATCACCCATGTTTCTCAGTTTTGAATTATCTGAAAATTTGATAAGCATGTCATTTATACCTCTATCCAAGTCATTAATAAAAATTATTTAAAAGCACAGAGCAAGGATATATCATTGAAGCATGCTATTTGAGACCTCTCATCAAGGTAATATTATTCCTTTAAAGATAAACTGGTCATTGGTTCTGTTTATTCAACCAATTTCAAATCCGACAAACTATGTTATCATTTAGCCCATATCTCTCCATATTGTCTGAAAGGATCCACGAGGAAATCTATCAAATGCACAGTACAACACGATATTTGGAGACATATAGGAAGAGCAATATCTCACCAACCCAGAACAGCCTCTCCGCCACCCCACATTCAAATTAGGCTAGTTTTTCTTTAAAAATTATTGAAACTGTCTTCAAGATTTAATTAGTGCAGGGGACCAAGGCTTGGTTCATTTTAGCTTCCTGAATATGAAATAGCCAGGACAAGAGGGCTCAGAATTCTTCCCTTTGGCTTATGACCAGCAGCTTGAACCTCACTGAGAAGTTCAGTTCAATTGAATAAATGCTTTATCCTGGATAAATATCCCTTCCTTGTTCTGAATATCATTGCCCCCACTATGACTAAGTAAAACTCTTGTTGCTAACAGATAGATGGATTACCAGTGTATCATTTAGTTTTAATTTTGGAGCTGAGCTACCAGGGAATTCACTTGAGTAAAGGTAAATTCATTACAACCCAGAAGAACCTCTGGAAATCATCTACCCTCCAATGACCCAAAACTTTTATTTGACAGATGAGTAAACTGAGTACATTCCCCTCAGCCCCACCACCAAACTACCTCCAGAGAAATTAGCTGTCTTGCTTAAGGTCACAAAGTTTAGTAATGGCGGAGCTGGAGCTAGAAGTCAGGCGTCTACTGCAAGGCCTCTTTCACTATGTCATGATATTTTCAGATCCTTGGTGAAAAATGTGTAATGAACCATATAAAGAGAAAACCATAATATGTATTATGTTTGCAAATATTCAGGAAGAAAAAGGAAAAAAAGCGATCCTTATGTATGCTGTTCTCCTCATGTTTTGTTAAGGACGTCTGAAGGGGACCGATAGAACTAACGCAACAGGATGATAAAGAGGTTGGGTATACTGCCTTAGCAAAACAATATATTGAACAGCATCAACAAGGACACACACACCTCATCAGAAAAACAAGCAGAGCAGTATCCTCTGTGATTGCTCAGCAGACCAAGTCATAAAATTCAATGAGCCCCATCATCTGCCTCATGCCAGAAGAAACACATCTAAAGCCAAAATACTCTTTCTCAAAGGAAACAGTGAACCCTCCTGCAAAACCCCATTTTCCCCCCTCTGTGGTCATTAATTAGCTGGTCATCTGCCAACTAAGTGAGAGAGCAAAGAACTCATCAGACCGAGGAGGTGGGTAACCAAGTAATGTCTCAATGCCAAAGTCACTTTGGTCATTCATATCATGAGCTTTGGTTTAGTTATCCTGCAAGTGGGAAAAATATGCTGTATCAATTAAATCAACTATTTTATCACTTTCTTTTTAGGAGGATAACACGAGATAATAACAGAAAATGAAATACTACTTTTGCAGCAAGTCTTACCCACGTTTAGTTATGGAGTTATCAAGGTAGGAAATCATCTTTATTGAAATACAACTGTCTTCCTATGCAACCCATATAATCATTAAGCATTCTGGCTGGCTCAATTTAATTCAATTTAATTCACATTGATCCAGTACCCCCTCTTTCCAGAAGTACTGTTCTAGTCTTGGGAGAGACACAATTCTCAAGTTAATGGGTACAATCCAGGGCTCTATTTTTGGCCACCTTCTCCTCCTTCTTTCTCTTTCTTTCTGCCTTTCTCTCTCTGTTTCTCTGTCTCTCTCTGTCTTTCTCTCTCTCTGTCTCTTTCTCTCTCTCTCTCTCTCTATATATATATACATATATATATATATGCAGTATGTATGTATGTATGTATGTACTTTCATTCTCTGTGATTTCACCTGATCTCCTGGTGTATATATCATCCCTTTGGAGATGACTTCCAGATCTATACATCCAACATTAACTCTATTCTGAGCTCCAGTCCTGTATCTCCAAATGCCTGGTAAAATATCTCCACTTAGATATTAAATAGGCATCTCAAAATCAGCATGTCTAAAATGGAACTTTTTCTTCTTCCTTGAATATTCCTCTCCTCTTAATTATTCTATTTCCACATCAGTCTTCAAATCATCCAAGTATGTTACCTAAATGAAGCATCTTTGACTCTTCATTATCACTCACTCTTCTATCTAATCAGTAGCCCAGTTCTTGTTGATTATACCTTCACAACACCTCTACCACCCATTCCCTTCACTACCACCCCAGATCAGGCTCTTAATCCCTCTTTATTGCAAAAATTTTCTAATTTATCTCTATGCATCCAGTCTCTCCCTTCCTTCCATCCTGCACACAGCCAGAAAAGTGATTTTCCTAAACCAAAGATCTATCACTGCCTTGTTGAAGAATCTTCAGTGACTCCCTATCAACTCCACTATACATTATCTCATTGGTTTGGCATTTAAAGACCCACACAATCTAGCTTTTTTTTTTTTGAGGCTGATTACACGTTATTCTCCATCATTTGGTATAACTTCTAGCCCAATTGGTTTATTCACTATTATTGATCCATGACACATTTCTGCTTTTAAATTAATGTATGTTGTCTATGTTTAGAATATTCTTCTTCCTGACTTCCTATGGCTGGTAAGGTTCAACTCAAGTACTAGTTCCTAAAAGAAACCTTTCCTTATCCTCACAATTTTAGGGACCCTCTCAATTATCATGTATATATCTTCTGTTCAATTATGTGCACATTGCATTACCTGCCCCGCCCCAAGTAGGATTATAACTAGGTACCAATTAGAGCAAATCATGAATCCCCTGAAATGGTCACATGTATTCAAATTCACACTTTTGGAAGTTCTAATAATATAAAATGTGATAATAATTAGTTCTAGCCCAAAGGAAATATGAAATACAAATTTAAATAATGACACCCACCTCCCTTTAGGGAATTCATTATTCCCATGAATTGGGGCCCATCTGTAGTCCCTTCTCACATTTGGAAACTGAAACTGAGAAAAAGTTAAGTGCCTTACCAAATATCACACAGGCAGTAAGTAACAAAGGCAGAATTTGAACTCAGGTCTGCCGATTCCAAATCCAGTTTTCTATCCATTTTACCATGGTTCCTTTCTCTCCTATTCCTTTTTCCATTCTTCCTTCTCTTCCAGCCACAATTATGCACCAGTGTGTTTGACACTGGGGCAGCTAGGTGGTGCAGTGTCTAAAGCACTGGGCTCAGAATCAGGAACACTCATTCTTCAGCAGTTCAAATCCAACCTCGGACACTTACCAGATGTGTAACCCTGAGCAAGTCACTTAAACCTGTTTCCTCAGTTTCCTCATCGTTAGCTGGAGAAGGAAATGGCAAACCACTCCAGTATCTTTACCAAGGAAACCCCAAATGGGGTCATGAAGAATCAGACACAATTGAACAATAACGTGATTGACATAAAGGTATAATCAAAAATGTAATAACTTTGACACTATGAATAGTAGGCAAATAAAGACATAGGATACTGCTCAGATTTTCAAACATTTCAAAATTTTTCCTCTTTCTGGTCATAACTATATATATATATATATATATATATATATGTA